ACAACTCATCTGATTTACTGGTAGTCTCGTAAACCTACTCAAATTAGAAGATATTTGACCAGTTTTTCTACTATGGTATTTTTTATTTAGTGCTTTTCTTCTCTTATCTATTCAGTTTTCTTTCTAATTTTCGAGCCTTGCAGAAGTCAGTGAGCCCATTCTCTATCATCTACCTCCTTTCTTCCCAGGATTGCAAATTTCTTCACTTCTAACCTTCGTCTCATCCACTATTCTATTTACTTTTATACTCTTATCTTACTAATTGAGAATATGAACTTCCGATTCCTCTTTATATTTTCGATATCGCTAAAAAACCGTATCAGCATCGAAGAAGGTCTTAATGTAGCTCGCCGTATGCTTGGACACCGTATCTACACTGAGCAAACAGGCGATTCTGGACAACAGTGTTCTACCGTGATGGTCTGTGAACGAAAATATTCACGCCGGGAACATTACTTCGCCATCGTGCTCGATCGAGCCACTTCTGGTCCCGTAGCTATAGGCAGTAGTCAGGGAGGAATGAACATTGAAGAGGTAGCTGCCGAAACTCCAGAGGCGCTCATCAAGGTGATTCTCGTTCTAATATTTAATCACTGTTAATTGCATATGTTTCATGTAGGAGAGCCACCGGTAAACCTTTACTCTTCCCTGAATAGTTTTTTCTCTTCGTCCTATTCGATAATATTGTGAAGCAAGTGACACTTAGTCTCAATAGATAATTGTTCAGAACAAAAAATTACCTTTGCCCTTATAAATTTTGATGCCTTTTACTTCTGCTAGACACTGATTTCTTAGTTTCATTGATTATACAACTCATACTTTAATTCCATAAGTATGGCTAAAAAATAAATTAAAACGGATACTTGCATGCATGGGTTTCCAACACATTTCCACCAAACCTGTTCCCTGACTAACTAGGTTGTCCAAAAAGGCTGGATTATCATAATTTTCTAGTCCCATTGTGAATTAAATAGTCCTATTTATCCTATTATGTAACCTAATAAATTTTTTTATACAGATAAATAATCATCTATATATACCTTTAAAATTATGAATGCCTCTTGGATTTGGCGAACGTTTAAATGAGCCATTTGAGGGCAAACATGATCAAACAACTAACCTTAATCGAAGGTATGAAGACCAAGATGGTGTGGCCTTTTGTGTGGTCGCAGTCTCCTTTCGTTGTAT